GCACTTTAAAAAATCTATAACTTTATTTGTATTTGCGATAGAAATAATCTGTAAAAAATGTTATAAAGTTTAATGCACCTAGTTGTAAGTACAGCTAATGTGATTTCAGTCATTACTGTGTAAATCAGTTGGCAAATGTTTTCCGTGAACTGCAAAATCGTATTACCCTTTTGTATCGCTTAATGGTGGAGGACATTAACAAATATAGATTTCCTTCTGTCTAATCCTTTTCACAAATTATTTCTATCGCAAATAAAAAAAAAATAAAGTTATAAATTTTTTAAAAGTGCACACGAACTTTATGGACACATTGGATATATATATATATATATATATATATATATATATATATATATATATTACACGAAATAATAATACAAGATGTGGAAGGTGTTAGTATGACTGTCAGTCTGGTTTGGAGTGAACTACTATCGGCTCGACTCGATTCGACCCTCTCTCTTGAGAGGCGTAGTATACATAGTGTTAGGAAGAGTTCATTGTGTAGTTATAGGTAAGGACTCATGACAATTATGCAGAACTACAAAAAAAAATATTTTTAAAAATTGCCGGTTCATAGGTCGATTTCAGTTGCGAAAGTGACATACGACAATTTGACGCTAACATTCGGCGATTGCGACCCCATAAGGAAGTCAAATATAATCATATGTTCTAACAATAGTTACAAATCTAAAATAAAATAAGAATTATCATAAAATTAAGTTAGATTTATATTATTCTATGTTTAAAACCATGTTTTTAATAAGAGTAGGAAACGCTGGCTGCAATATAATATATATATATATATATATATATATATATATATATATATATATATATATATATATATATATGCAGAATATTTGAGGCCTTTGTGTTTTTATATACAGGGTGTTCATAAAGTCTCTTTTTTCTGTGATTGTATGGCATCTCATCTATTTTCATCATCGGATAAAAAGGTTTCTTGAATTCTCTGGTTGAAACTTCGAAGGCACTCGCACTACTTAAAGCAAAGGCAAAATTGAATGAAGACATATTTGTTGTTGTTTTTACACCAACTGTGGGAGCTGTTCTTTTATATCAATAAAATTAGAATATTATAACTATAGTTTTAAAAAAAATATGTTTCCATCGCGACACAGTAATTTCAATGTTTCAAAACTGAATCTTCTGGTGTGGATTCCGGGAATGGAATCCTGCACAAATAAATAAACAACGCCAGTAATTGAGATAGAAAAATAAGTGTATTAAACGTAAGAATACAGACTTGAAGTGAAGATTAGTAGTCCAGGAATGCGGGTTAGTAGAAAGTATATGTACAAATCTCTTTAAGTAAAGCCATAATCTCTCTCTCTCTCCCTCTCTCTCTCTCTCCCGCCCTCTCTCTCTCTCTCTCTGGACTCTTGTATAACTCCCTGAGAACACCCTGTGCCTGTCTCTGTATCACTCAACCTGTCTCAACGTATCTCCACGTATCTCAACGTATCTTAACAGCATTATTCTCTCTGTCAATATAAGTATACTTTGGACGAGTCCATCTTATGTAAAAAGGGGAGAGCACCACAACAATTTCAATCTCAAATTTAATTACAAAAATTAAACTTAAAATCCAGAGTTTTGTTCTTAGTATTGCTTGACAAAGGAACCAAACTGGATTTTTAAGTTTAATTTTTACAATTAAATTTGAGATTAAACTTTCAGTTTTGAAACAAAGAAATTTCTGTGTTGCGATGGAATCATATTTTTTTTAAATACTGTTATAGTGGAACACACATATTCTATAGTTAATAGACTCTCCCACCTATAATAAGTAGGAGTAGTAAGAGTAACGAGTCACTGAGTGGGTCGGTCAGTCAGTCGATGCCGGACGACCGTTAGTCGGATACTAAAGTATCAGCGACCACAACTAGATTTCTCTGCGTTATACCTATTCTATCAAGTTCCTAATGTTTTGTACGTCGAACCTATTTTAGGACCGACTTAGTACAAATACAAGCCTCCACTGTGAAATCACTCCATAACAAATACACTATTTACATTATTCGGACTATTGTCCTCATCTTTGTCGCCATTTTATTACAACGTTTCGGCCGTTGTAGGCTCCGGCTTTCTTCAGATGGTTGGAATGTCGAACTGAACCCTTTATTTCGCTCACTGGGGTAGACTGTTCTAGTTCCACGTGCCATGTTTTAATGGATGTCAGTTATCAGTTATCTCTGTTAATTCCCCTATACAAGTTCTCCAGTGCCTTAAACTCACACTCTTTTTTAAAATAATTATAATATTATGCTCTAGTGTTGTATCGAGCATAGTTTTTTTTAATAAAATTAAATGCTAACACCGGATTATCTCACCGGATTATCTCACTGTTATTTCCTATTATTTTAATATATGTAAAAAAAAAATAGAATATCAACTTTTTTTAGAGCAGTAGATATCGACTCGAAATTAGAAACCCAAGAGCAGAATTAAATTCGCAATCGATCGCAATCTCTACTCGAGTGCGTATTATGCATAGGTCGATTTCAGTTGCGAAAGAGACATACGACAATTTGACGCTAACATTCGGCGATTGCGATCCCATAAGGAAGTCAAATACAATCACATGTACCTAATAATCCTTAAAAATGTAAAATAAAATAAGAATTATCATAAAATAAAATTAGATTTATATTATTCTATGTTTAAAACCATTTTTTTATAAGAGTAGGAAACGCTGGCTGTAATGAAATTGGCGAAGTACAATTTATGCCCAACCTTCTCCAGGCCTGTTTTTGAATACATTTACCTTCTCCTAGACTGGTTGCCACCCAAGGCTATAGAACCCAATCTGTCCTGCTATTTACCCATAGCTGGAGGGAGAAGAAGAGGATTCATACCTTTCCCAAGGGTATTAGCGCATAAGTAAATGTAATGGATCCGAGCCGCTAACCATTACTCCACCATGCCTCCCTCTCGTTATATTCACTTCCTCGCAAATGCCCTTAGGAAAAGTATGAATCTAACTTCCCCCAGCTATGGGTTGAATAGCAGAACAGATTAAGATAGCTTAATCTTTGTAGACACCCTGTCATCCAGTAACTAGTAACTCTATAACTGAAAAGTATTCCAGAAAAGAGTTCCAATAATGTTTCCAGCAATGGCACTATTATCTCATCAAGTGCATTTGCTATCAACGGGAATACATTGAAGGTGAGAAGAGAAAATAGGTAAGCAAAGTTTGGTGTCTCAAGAGCCACTCCAGGAATTACCGTAATTCCCCATGTATAATACGCCTTCATCCATAATACGCACACCTACAATTGTGTTGAAAGTGTGGGAAAATACTTCTACTCACACATAGTACGCTCCTCTTGTTTGGCAATCAGCCCCTATAAATTCTACCTCTCTAATTTCATCAAAGCCAGCGTTTCCTACTCTTATTAAAAATGGTTTTAAACATAGAATAATATTATTCTAATTTAATCTTATGATAATTCTTATTTTATTTTACATTTGTAAATATTGTTAGGTACATATGATTGTATTTGACTTCCTTATGGGGTCGCAATCGCTGAATATTAGCGTCAAATTGTCGTATGTCTCTTTCGCAACTGAAATCGACCTATGCATAATACGCACCCCAAATTTTGCTTATTATTTTCTAGAAAAAATGCGTATTATACATGGTGAATTACGGTATTTTGTCATGTCTCGTCTGAATGTTTACCTCTATTCTTACCTCTTCCACTCAAGGCATATCCATACAGATAGATCCGCATATAGGTTTCATTTTTGGAAATTCTGGTCTTTGGCCCCCATCAAACTGAAGGCTGCTCTAGTGCACTCGTTATTATCTGAATATGACTGCCTTCTTGCTCGACTAGACAATCCCTATAGCAGACACCTACTCAGGCACGACTGTGTTTGTTCAACACAGCTAGAGCTCAACTGTGGTTCATATTTAAACTATGCTGAGCGGAACGTAGTCTTGGTTAAATCGTATTATCTGGCATGATCAAGTCTGAACAAGACCAGTACGCTGAAACTCTCGGTCACGATGACTTAAGAAATCGTGCTACTTCAACTATCGCCTGATCACGAATAGTTCTGTCTATCCAGTTTCAGTCAATAGGTAAGTGAAAGGCACTTCCTCAGACCGACAACGCAAAGAAGTCACCATCATGATAAATCAACCATAGTGAGGTTTGATCCTATGTCTTATAGTTTGAAAGCAAACGTTAACCACTTGGCCACGTATCCATCCACCTAAATAAATAGAAAGTGAACTGAGATAGATAGATAGATAGATAGAAAGATAAGATAGATAGATAGATAGATAGATATAGAAAGTGAATTGAGATAGATAGATAGATAGATAGATAGATAGGAAGTGGATATAGAAAGTGAATTGAGGTAGCTAGATAAATAGATATATAGAAAGTGAATTGAGATAGATAGATAGATAGATAGATAGATAGATAGATAAAATAAAATAAAGAAAAAACAGCAAATTTTGCAAACGTTATCACGTTGGCACAACCTCTACAGAATATACTCACCCTTACAAATCGACCATGGTGATATTCGAACCCTGGTCTGATGGTCGGTAAGCGTGCGTTCTAACTCGTGCCACGTGCCTATTAATTGTATCAATACCTATATATCGATGAGGCAATAATGTCTTTAAAATAGCCTGACTGTGCGTCCGGATTACTGCGTATTTCTCATCGCTACTGTCAGAAATCAGATTTCTTGAGAACGGGCAAGAGACAGGATGACGAATGAATATTTCTGGAGAGACAGGAACTTACCATTTGCAGAATTACATTGTCAGAATTTCCTTATTTCCCCGTTCCACCCCCATACCCCCCGCGTTTTTGGCATTGCGTAGGATTAAGTTAATATATTTAATTTACTCCCGTGGGATTTGTTGTCATAATTTGTTATGGAGAACGATTCATCAAATCACGTTATAAACATGACAAATATTATTATACATTGAGGCTTTCGGAATTGTTTCCTCAAATTTGTTGATAGATAGATAGATAGATAGATAGATAGATAGATAGATAGATATAAACATATAATGATAGAAAGTTATGAACTAACTGTGAAAGATAGATATGAACAGACTGAGATAGATAGATAGATAGATAGATAGATAGATAGATAGATAGATAGAAATAGATAAATAGATATGAAAAACAGACTGAGATAGAATAGATGAGATAGATAGATAGATAGAGAGATAGATAGATAGAGATAGATAATGAACAGACTGATATATTTAGATAGATAGATAGATAGATATGAACAGACTGAGATAGATAGATAGATAGATAGATAGATAGATAGATAGATAGATAGATAGATAGATAGATAGAACAGATAGATAGATATGAACAGACTGAGATAGATATGAACAGACTGAGATAGATAGATAGATAGATAGATAGAACAGATAGATAGATAGATAGATAGATAGATATGAACAGACTGTATAGATATGAAACGACAAATAGATATCAATACAGTTAAATATGAGCAGACTTATAGATAGATAGCTATAAATATACTGCGATATATAGATATACACGAACATATGTAGATAGATAGATAGATAGATAGATAGATAGATAGATAGATAGATAGATAGATAGATAGATTTGAACAAACTGTGAATGACTGATATGAACAGGTTGCAATAGATAGTAGATAGATCTATAGATTGATAGATAGATAGGAAACGACAGATAGATATCAATACAGTTAAATATGAGCAAACTTAGATATATAGATAGATATGAACATGCTGCCATATATAGATATACACGAACATATGCAAATAGATAGACAAATAGATAGATAGATAGATAGATAGATAGATTTGAATATTGTGATAAAATACATGTAAAAATAATGGAATGAATTTTTCCAAATAAATAAGTGTTTTCAAGACGGAAACAAATATCTTTAGGCAAGACTGCATCATCAACTTCTCCATATAGAAGATGACATCTTTCTCTCATACATTAATTTTTTCCGACATATTTGCTCGTCTTCATTTTCATTATCAGAAAACACTGGTGGCTGTACACTGCACCTTTCCTCGAGAGTCTGTCGCATTTGGTAATCATTAAGATATCTTGAACTGAACACATTCTTTGATTCATGATTCCAACCAAGAAACGGCCACTTTTTTTTTTAGCAATTAAAAATTAAGGTACTTCATAATTCATGCGCGTCAATATTCATTTGCAAAGACACTCGTCACGTAGAGTAACTGGATAAAACAATTAGTAGCGAAGTGAAAAAGAAAGGATCGCATGTCTTTCTGGTATGGAAACGTAAAAAAGAAAATATATTTTGAGGAAGAATTGTTTCTTGTCGGGTCTTTCATAATAGATGGCAATATCTTCTTTTATACCGAACGCTTACTGGCTAATAAATAGATAAACCAAATTTGAGGTTTCATGATCTCTATATGAAGATGTTTTGTCATCTATAACGAAGATAAAACTCTCCTCAAATATATATAGATCGTGGGAAATTTGTTTGTTTAAAAACAGTAATTTGAATTTGCTCGCAAGACGCTTCCACTGTAGCTGAATAGTATAACACGTCAGGCCAAATGACGGTTCCGTTTAGGACCCAGGTTCGATTCCTGCCGGAAGACACATATTTTCTTCAAAATTTCTCGGCCATTCAGCCCGGTAAATGTAATTAATACTGTTTATTATAAACATAACATTTACTTAACTGTATCTATAACCTACAAACAGAAAATATATATATATATATATATATATATATATACAGGGCGTCCATAAAGTTCGTGTGCACTTTTAAACTTTATTTGTATTTGCGATAGAAATAATTTGTAAAAAGGATTAGAAAGTAAATCTATATTTTTTAAGGTTTTATTGCAATTTTATTTAAGTTTCCACATGTCTCCATCATTAGCAACAAAGGTAATACGATTCTGCAGTTCACAGAAAACATTTGCCAACTGATTTACAGAGTAATGCCTGAAATCCCATTAGTTATTTTAGCTATACTTAAAACTAGGTACATTAAACTTTATAACATTTTTTACAGATTATTTCTATCGCAAATACAAATGAAGTAATACATTTTTAATGTGTACACGAATTTATGGACACCCTGTATATATATATATATATAAAGTGGGAAAAAGTTTTCGTGTGAAGCCTTTCGTCCGTTAAGACTTCTTTGGATCAAATTAGTCATGTTGATGTGGCTACATAGAGGAACTTTAAATATACAAAAATAAACGAAGAACAGAAAATATATTAAAATAATTGTCGTACATAGTCCAATTCATAAGAAATATATCCTTACTTAAACGTTATTTTTAGTGGACACATATACTTGAATAGACGCTCCGTTTATTTATTCGACACTATACTTATTTATTTATTTATTTATTGTCGTCTACCGGTTTGAATATTCGAAGAATCTTATTAAATAGAAATATACGTTCTCCAACAGACATTGTTTAATAAATAAACGGTGCCTCGACTCAAAGATGGTTATGCCCTAAAAATACAAAAAGTCATGTGAGCCGAAAGATTAGATCAAGGAACAGCATAATAAAAAAATATCCAGATTTAGGACAATCTTTGTCTTTATTATATATATATATATATATATATATATATATATATATATATATATATATATATGTGTGTGTGTGTGTATATACATATACATATATATGCACACACACACACACACACACACACACACACACACACACACACACACACATATATATATATATATATATATATATATATATATATATATATATGTAATAATAGACTCTCCTTTCGGGTTTGGCGTATGAGGATCTGACAGCTTAGTTGATTCAGTTATGAAATTCTTAAGTGGTATTTAAGACTCGCTAGTGATTTACAAAGGAGGCGACATATGAAGCAAGAGTGAGGATTGTGAGATGAGATCACTGTTAGATTGGCTGACCTTTTAGTTCTTACTCTCGTTTCTGGAAGATGATTCAGACAAGGAGATTGAAAACTGCTGAGTCCACTGAAACATGATGATCTCCATTCTACCCAGTCCAAGGCTAAGTGCTCAATGTTGTTATGTGGTATATTAGATGTATACATTTTGTTACATTGGAAGAAAATGAGTAAGTAAGCTTTTGTATTTAGATTATATAAATGTATATATTTCCTTCTTTTTTTTGTTGCTTTTTACTTAGTAAATAAATGTACTGCTCCACACTCATAACAATAATATATATATATTACACTGTCATACTTACACTGTCTCTAAATTTTATTTTTTATCCCCTGACTTGTTTTTTCTGTTTTCTTTTTGAATTTGTAGGTCTGATGAACTGGATCGTATTTGTGATTCCAATGGAATAAATTATGACCATGGAATATTAGTCTTTAAGCCTTTTATATATATATATATATATATATATATATATATATATATATATATATATATATATAATTAGTAAGTGATATAAGTAAATATTAACGTTTTGTATATATAATCGCATCGCTTTGCGATTGATGGAAACTGGGATAAAATAATGAAAGTATATTATCTCGTAACTTGAAGACAAATATGCTTTTTGTGCCCTTGTAGAAAGTAAAACATCTTTGGCTAACAGACGCAAAAAAGATTCATTAAAACTTATAATGTTGAGATTTGAATCCTTGCCTTTCTTATCGCATTTGTAGCCTCGAGTCTAGCATTCGTTAGAATTCGTTTAGAGTAACCTCCCTTTAGAATAATAATAATAATAATATTAATAGGACCAACGATTGGTGGGCCAGAAAAATGGCGGCAATTGGATAAAAGTTCATTTTTTCGTGTGCCTACAAGGAAAGTAACCTCAGTAGCACATAGTGGTGATGGTTTTGTGTAAAAGGAAGGAGAAAGGCAACTTTACTTGCAAAAAGTTCAAAGCCAGGCAGTTCCCAGAAATTTTTTCGAGAGGGTTATTTGGTTCGAGCATCTTATCTTCGTAGAGGGTCATTGTTGATAGATGACATGTATTGCGCATGTACCAAATATAAGTGTGTGTATATGGAATTCTTAGAAAAGTAGGTTTATGTATTTTTTTTTTAAAGAGTATGAATACATGTGTGCATATTAACAAACTCAACATTTGGTTGGCTTTTAATGCTAGTGGTATAAATGTGAAGTGATATACAGTTACAGGCACACGCACTGGAATACAGAAATACACTACAGTTTAAAAGATTGAGGATCACCCTTGGTAAATTTTTAAAATTGGCACAAAATGTACTTGTTTTGTACTTTAAATAAGAGAAAATTATTATACATTGTTAAAACAATGAAGTATGTTTTTTATTATAAATTTTATTTTAACAAAAAGAAAAAAAGCACTTTATGATCAAATTTTGCTCTCCTCAAAATACCCTCCTGTAGCCTTGATTATTGCAGTACATATTATTGGCATTCGTTACAAAAATTTGTCAAAGTTTGATAATTAATTCTATTCTTTTTTCAATGACTCTAAGAGCTCTTTTTTCATTTTTTTCACTCTTCTGTCAGGCTATTCACATGCAAATCCTGGGGGTGGCATAGTACTATATATATATATATATATATATATATATATATATATATATATATATCCAGTCGAATCCATTACATTCATTTACGTGCCAATATTCTTGGGAATGGTATAGATCCTCTTCGTCTCCTCAAAGCTATCAGTAAAGAGCAGGACGGATTTGAGTTCTATAGCCTTGGATGGCAACTGGTCTAGGAGAAGGACAACTCTGAATTTAAAACCTGTGGAGGTTCGTTTAGGGGACATTTTGGCACGTAGTACGCCAGGTCTCTGTATTCGGTTCTTCAAAAAGTGGTTCTGCACAAAGCCTTCATCACTATAATCAAATCATATGTCCTATGTCTGGGCTGTCGGTCCTTCCTAGGAACAGAGCTGCTTGACCTTTATACGTCGAATATATATATATATATATATATATATATATATATATATATATATATATATATATAATAATAATAATTTGAGTGCTGGTGTTAATAAACAGTGTTCGATTTATAATAATAGAGATAAAATTTATACATTTCTTCACATGGGTCGCACAACTCTGAGTTTCATGCTCGATGCAATTGTCAGGTGCTGATTGAAGACTTATCGATATAAAATTTAAATATTGATATATATATATATATATATATATAGTATTTACATTAGTCGGACTATTGTCTTTATCTTTGTCGCCATATTTTCACAACGTTTCGTCCGTTGTATGCTCCGGCCTTCTTCAGGTGGTTGGAATTTCGAACTGAAGCCTTTATTTCAATCACTGGGGTAGACTGTTCTAGTTCCACGTGCCATGTTTGAAGAAGGCCGGAGCGTACAACGGCCGAAAGTTATATATATATATATATATATATATATATATATATATATATATATATATATATATATATATATATATATATATATATATATATATATATATATATATATATATATATATATATATATATATATATATATATATATATATATATATATATATATATATATATATATATATATATATATATATATATATATATATATATATATATATATATATATATATATTCTGTTCAGTTCTGTTCTGATGTTCTTGAGGACACATAGCACAGCGGATAAAGGCGTTGGTTAGATCCTGTGACGAGACCCAAAAAGTGTGAGTTCAGTACTCGGTTAAGGTAGTGGAGAACTTGCAGAGGGGAATTAACAGAGATAACTGATAACTGACATCCATCAAACATGGCACGTGGAACTAGAACTATCTACCCCAGCAAGCGAAATTAAGGGTTCAGTTCCAACCACGTGAAGAAGGCCGGAGCATACAACT